TTTTTTCAATGTGGACAGAAGGACATCGAGATGCCATTCGAGGAAACCCCACAGGGAAAGAGAGGGAGAATGTTTTATATATATATAAATTTTGTTTTTATTTATTTGTGTACTTTATGCCACCGATATCGCCAGAGAGCAGGCAGGCTTGACTGGTGTTTGGATTGTTGACACAATGCGCTGGGCGGGCCCGGCTCGTTTGTAGCCTGATGAATTTGTTGTGCGCGTGAAGTGCGGGCCAAGAGTGTCCAGGCAATAACAGCCACAGCTCGAGCCAGGGAAATTTGCATGATTGCCGCGCTGCTGCGCTGTTGAAATATTCAAGGCAACGACTCGAACAACAAAGTAGGCAAAAGCCGCCCGCAAATTACTCAACACTTTTGCATTTTAATAAACCCGAAAAGCGCTTCCGAATCCTTTTTTTTTTTCTGTTGCTTGTGGGCGTGACGCGGAGCCAGCCTCTCAGTCGTCCGTGTCGGAATGTGTGCGTTGGCTTAAATATTTGATTTCGCCGCGCTTGTTTGAGTTGTTATGCTTAAGGTCAAAGGTAATTGCAGACTCGAGTGTTGCTGTTGCCGCTGCTGCCAATCAGTCTTTCTCGCTCTGGCAGGGGCATGCACAGTGCTTGTCAAACTATACAGCTGCCTCAAATTTTATATATAATAGCCAAACAGCAACACACACACACACATACGCACAAATGTATTTGACATACAAGTGAATATAATTTGGTTTCTCCTAAAAGCCTCACTAACAATAAATACATGAGAGCAACAACAATGACAAGCTAAAGCAATTAGTTTAATGTAATTCTCGCTCTTTTACTCACACACAAACACACACACACTGGATCTCTCTTTCTCTTTGTCTCTGTCTCTGTCTCACTCGTTTTCTCTCTCGCTTAGACGCTTTAACGCTTTGGGCGCTCAATGCGAGATGAAGCGCCAGCAAAAGTTGTATGTACCACAAATGAAATTATAGCCATACACACACACATACACATATACGCACACGCACACACACATTCACACTCATACAGTGGCAGGCCACAGGCTGTCGCTGCAATTTGCGCGTCGACAAAAACGTTTGCTCCTAAAAGCATGCCACACAATTTTTGCTCGACTCTCAATATTGCCGCCCTCATGCTGCTGTTGCTGCTGCTGCTGCTGTCGTTGTTGTTGTTGTTGGTGCTGCTCATCGCTTATCTTTTGAAGCTCACCTGCCTCACTTTTAAGCATTTTAACTTTGCTGGCAGAGTCGAAGTCGGCGGCATCGGCAACGCTGTCATGCACATTAACCAAATAGCTGGCGCCTTGATTTGATTATCATGTTTTTTTGCCAGCACCGAGTTCCAAGCTCCAAGATTGCCGTTTGACAAGCAACTTCATCGACAACAACAACAACAGCAACAGCAACAACTGATTCGCCAGTCAGTTGTGCGGCATCTGCCGTAGGCTGCACAAGTTTGATTATGTCCCGGAAAGGGTATTTATTTTACGTTTCCTTCTTTTCATACATTTCTCTTTTTCTTTTTCTCTTTCTGTTCCCCACATAACAATAAGCATATTCTTCATAATGTTCAGGCAGCGCATTGTTGTTATGGCTAAAGAGTTGTATGTATTTGTGACCATGGAGCACATGTGCATTAATAAATGTTACTTAACGATTTGAGGTATCTTTTATGGGCTTGTATAATGGGAGCGGAGAGAAAAATTCAACACTTCTGTGGGATTTTATTGCATTAAAATGACCGTGGAGGATAATAATTTGTGCCATCTGCAAGCAAGCAAGCTTAAGAGCTGAAAAGCGTTCCTTTAGGTAATGTGGAGTAGCAATGACCTTGAAGGATCTAAAGCTTTGCTTTTTTGTATATTTAATATGTTGTACATTTAATTAGCAATTATTGAGGTATACCATCAAAGACATAACAGCAATGAAAGGCAGTTACAATTGATTTGATTTAAAAAGAATAAATCAAGAGATCAAATATATTTTATAATTAATTTTGTTGTTATATTATCTATCATATTGTTTTATAATTTAATATTACTATTCTATATATTGTATATATTATTAGACTTATAAAAATAAAAATAACTATTATTCATTTGATAGCTAGAGAGCGAGCACAATTCGCATGTTAAAAGAGGCAATTTACAGTTAGCAAGCACTTAGCCCCAAAATAGGCCATGGAGCATTATTAAACGGCTGTTTAGCTAGCTTAAGAGGGAACGAGTCTAGAGAGATTTCATGTCTAAAATATATTGTCCGACAAAACACAAGTCTAATTTTATTCTCCTTACTTTTATCCATGCACATCTGTGCAACATAAAGTAACCATGGAGAGAGCTTGCTTAGTGTGATGCGTTATGGCTCATAAAGTGAGAGTGGATATTTTTACTATCTCTACAAAGAGTATTCAGAAATTTCCTAGTTTCATTCCTTGCATTTTACAGTCGGCAAACATATTTATTATTATTTTTTTTTCTTTCGACTGGGGCTTCTTTTGATTTATGGCGCTGCCCCGAGAGCGTTTGTCAGGAGCGAGCGAGCGAGAGAGCCGCCATTTTGTTCTGTTCTGTGTCACATGCATGATTCATGCGACTTTCGCTTTGGTCCTGTTATTATTATGGATGTTGTTGTTGTTGTTGTTGTTGTTGTTGTTGTTGGTTCGCTAGAAGTGGAAGTCACTTCAAATCTGTATGTTGCTGCTGTGATTCCCAGCCACGCCCCCTGCCGCTCCGCCCCACTTACAGGGACCCGGGACGTGGGCATATCTGCAAATTGCCTGCAATAAATTTTTGCCCGTTTGCCATAAAACACTTAAAACGATTTGTGCGAATAAAAAACAAAAACAAAATAAAATAAGAAACAGAAAACTGAAATGAAAATAGAGCTAAAGGAGCTGGTAGCAAACAAAAAAGAAAAGAAAAACAAAACGGAAAAGCTGAAACGACTGGCAATTTTCATTCGATTTTCCCTTCGCGCTTATGTAAGCCATAACAATTTTCCAATCATTTCCACGCGCTTCGCATGCAAAACAAAATGTTTAATTACTTCCGCAGCGAGCAGAAATTTGCCTTGGTGTACAAAACTCAATTTGCGAATGTTCCGTTTGCGGACAATACGGTAAATGTGCAGAAGTGGAAAATGGAAAATGGTAGGAAAACTGCCAAAAATAAATGCACACAAATTCAATTTATATTTGCCATAGTGCGCACAAACAACAATAACAAAAAAACAAATGACTTCCTTTGCGAACAAATGTGTGCGTGTGTGGGTGTACACACACATGCACACATGGTCAAGTTGTTTGGCTTGTGGAGTGAGTAAAAGTTTGCTTACGTTTTCATTTTGTGTCTTTGGCTGGAATTGGTTATGGCATGGCCGAAAGAAATTATAAATGAATTAGTTGGAAAGTCACGTATGTGTGTGTGCGCACAGAGTGGGCGTGTGTGAGTATGTGCGAGTGTCCCTTATTATCTCTTACTTACTCCATCAGCCGTTATCTGCTGCTCTCTTGGCCCTTCGGCTGGCCTGTCGTAAGCGGCTTAAGTGTATTCGAGAGAACAACTTAAAGCATTCGCCATGAATGATTCACGAGCGAGCATCGCATACCGAATGAATGAATTTACTGAACATTTATCGGCAGCTGTCATCGGTGCACAGTTCCGTTACGTTTTGGGAGCTCGGCTTCAACCGGATGTCTATTTAAAGTTCAAGCACAATACAGCTTCAGCCTGTGGGGATCAAAAGTTGTGCGCTCTGTTAATTGAAAACTAAAAACTGAAGACTGTGAACTGAAAACGTTTGTGCTCCAAATTAGCAAGAACACAATTTCGAATAATTGAAATGCGAAAAAGCAAAATAAATTAAGGCAAAGAAACGTACACAATGCGCCAAGGCAGCCCGAAAATAGGCTAACAAAGCGAAAATGCCAAAAATCTGTGCAGAGGCAGCACCAACAGAAGCAGCCACAGCAGCTGACCCTAACGAGCTGGTTATTCAGCCAGACAGAGAATGGGATGAATTGATTTGAATTTAGCCAAAGCTTAACTATTTTTACAAATTCAGGAATATATTTAGAGCAGCAGCAGAAGCAGGCAAGCTTGAGATATGAAAGAAGAACAGAACACATATTTCCATAAATCTTGCTCAAATTTGATGTATGCGAAAGGGAGAGAAAAGGCGATGAAAATAAGCTGAAAGCTTGCCACTACAAAAAATCTCATTTTCAGTTTTAGACAAACTTTTTCTTTGTTTTTTCTTCGCAAATATTCAAATGAAAATGACAGAGACAATATGAGATGCAAATGAAATATAATGTAATGATTTGATTAAAAGCAAAGCGTATTAGAGAAACAAAAACGACGCAAAGAAGCAAAAGAAACTCTTTTGACGACTTAAAGCAACAAGAATTTCGCAAGTTATGCAACAATTATAAACAAAAGAAATTTTCATAATTATTAAGCTTTTGGATATTTTGTAACAAAGTTTACTAATTGAGATAGAAAACCAATGAAATACTTATATAATAGGCATCTGTCTTAGCATCAGTTATATAAATTTGTTGTGAAATATCTGAACAATTTTTAAACAATAACAAAATAAATATAAATGCTGAGAATTTCTAGATATTTTTCAGTAAATTCGATAAAGTTGTATAGTGCCTAGAAACTATAGACTTTAATCTAAAAGACCGAGAGCTTCGTGAGCAAAAGTGTCTTACAGAGCTCTCCTGGAATCCACTTACATTTTAATCCAAACTTGAACAGTTTAATCGCCTTAATTAGATTCTTAGCTTTATAGAACACATTGCCACACAATGGGGCAGGGCTGTGGTCAGGGCTAGCAGCCGCTGCAGATAGGCAATCTCTGTTCAAGTGCATTAAATAGAACAAATATATATGTATATACATATATACATATGTACTACTGCAGCTACTTGGCGATTTGATAGCAGCACGCTAAACGTTTGTTTGTTTCCACCTCTTTTGCAGTCGGACATTGGCGGAATTTTAATCGAGCTGCTAACAGTGAAGCGGACGGAATGCAGCTGCTGCAGGTGCAACGGGCCGAAGTCGCAGCGGCGGTCTAATTGAGGCCAGCCGGATCAGGAGCAGGACACGCTCAAATGGCGTCATTTGTATGCGAAGCCACAACAATTGAGAGAGCCACAAAAGTTGCTAACGAAACAAACTCAACAAAGGAAATGCAGCGCAGCAGCTAAAGCCAACCAAATAAAAAACAAAAAAAAACAACAAAAAATTCAAATTGAAAACAAGCTAAACCAAATCAACGTAGAGGCAACCAGAGACAACAACAGGAAACAAGCAAACCAAAAGGGCCAACAGAATGATGAGCGCAGGCGGCACCTACATATCGACGGCCAGCGTGGAGGTGCCGAAGGCTCTGCAGGATGGCGAGAAGTTCATTAAGTGGGACGACGTAAGTAATGCAAGAGTTCATTTCGTTTATTGAATCAGAAATGCTTAGAAGTCGTTAATGTGCTCCTGGATCCAGTCGCTGTAGGAGGCAACGTCGGTGTAGACCGATGGGTACTTGGTGCTGGCACAAGGTGTGTAGCCCCAGGAGACGGTGCCAACCAGTTGGTATGAGCCGTCGGGACGCCTGTTCACCAATGGGCCGCCGCTGTCGCCGTTGCAGGCGCCGTCGGTGGTGCCGGCCTTGAAGGTGCACACGTTGGACTCGGCCAGTTTGTTGCCCCTGGGCAGGTTATCCAGGCACTTCTTGTAGTCAATGATTTCCACATCCAGTTTCTGCAGCTTGTCGGGCAGCGAGCCGGAGTTGTCGCGACCCCAGCCGAAGAGGACACCATCGCCGGTAGTGGCGTACTGCTTGGTGGCCACGGCAATGGTGGCGACAGGTGCGTTGCGGGCCAAGGCATTGATATCGAATGGCTGATCCAGGAAGATCAGACCAATGTCGTAGGGGCCAACGCCGCCGTTATATTTCTCGTGGATCGTCTGACGATCGCTGCTGGCCTGGCGCACCTGAGTCACGGACTTGTCCGAACGGCTGTGAGC